ACTCTCTTGAACACTATGTGCTTAATTGTCCACTTAATGAGGAATACAGAGACAGACAGTATAATAACCTATGTGACATGTCAAGATATCTTATTAATGAAAATAAGATACCAGATATACTAAGCAAATTTCCTAAATTTGCTTGTAACAGATAAGTGAACTATAGATATGTAGATATAAATCCATATGTATTCCTGTTAACCCTTTGGGGCCTAGTTCCTAGGCCTTTTATGTATCCATATGCTCTCGCGCTGCCGTCCACAGGATGGATATGGGGTGCACAATAAACTAGCCACTTCGGTGGCAAAATCTAAAATCTAAGTAATAGTGCTAACAGGTGAACCAGCAAGTATTACCAGGAGCATACACCAACAGCTACCACTCCCAAATGCACAGGCAACCTCCAGGACTTAGTACTTCCACCATATGTCCTGCTTGATGATCACCCAATGTCTCACCCGAGGACCACCTGACGCCCAGACTAAGTGAATGGCTGCAAGCCAACGTATGTGGTAAAAATATACTTTCAGAAAAGAATTCTTTTATTATGACATTTTGTCCACTTGGGACATTACACAGTTATCTATGTATAGTACTTGACAAAGCACCTCAATGGGTGAAATGTCATAATAATGAAAGGTTTCCTTGCTAAAAGTGTCTCCTCATTACTGCCCTAAGATGATCCAATTTCTATTGGATGGAGTGAACCACTACCAATGGAAGCTACGTAAAGGGGAGACGATTCCTTTTCCGTCTGTCTATGGGTTGGATTTACCAAAAAACGAAATATCCAGATAATGTGATCAAAAGGAGAGGGAGAGGGATGTTCAATTTTGATCTCAATATAGGTAGAGAAAATATCCAATTTGTTGCCCCAAGAGTTCCAAATACACACTAAAATCTACTAAAATAAGGCTTATTCACACAGCTCTGTACAAAAATGAGTTTTATTTAACAAAAGATATACAATAGTTAAACATTACATGAAACAAACAGTAAAAAAAAAAAAAATAATTGGGAAATTCCAGGCATTTAATCGGCAGTTATTTGGCTAATGTGGACACTTCTTTAAGAAAACAATAAGACTTAACCTTACCCTTCCCTGATTTAGAGATACTATTATGAAGAAAATGTAAGCTGCACTTCCATATATTCATTGAAACTACATATATAAATCAGTGCATTTACTGCCAATGCCAGGCATTATTCTCGTCCCCAGCCCCTGACCCCATTATTACAAACTTCAATTCAGTTTTGAATATTTTGCAGAAATAGGTAATGTCTAGTTATTATGGTAATATTCTAGGAGCTAAATGTCCTTAACTTATATAACAATCCTACTACCTGGTACCCTCAGCTTTTCAATAAATAAAATTGAAAGAAAAAATTTATTATTTTCAGAGATCCTGGCAGATATTGAAGTTTCAGTAAGTACCGAAGCGAGAACACACTTCGACTGGTTCCACGTTAAATAAATATCATTATTATTATAATCAAAAAGAAGCGCTAAGCCACAAGGGCTATACAGCATTAAATAATAGCTGGTAAATTTTAACACCTGCTAAGACCTCAAAACCATTTTCTTTCTTACATACACAGAAATAGACTACAAGATTACAAGAAACCCATATGGGTAAGAACTAGACCAAGACAATAAAGGCAAATATATGAACGAAGTTCACATGCTGTGGTAGATTTATTAAGATTTAATACATAATCACACAATTATTTAAAGTTACTTTTGTTAATTAATACCTCATGAGACATTAAAACCCTTAAATAAATGAAGTCTATTTGGAAATCTGATATTTATCAATGGAACAGTCAAAAGATCTATTGATAAATAATGATTGCATTACACCCCATCATATAGTTTAAATATATACACAAATAACCTGCACGTAGGAGAGAGAAGCTTACGACAACACTTCAGTTTGAATTGGACCACTTACAGTCACACCGTGTGGTGTAAATGGACCAAATCAAACCAAAACATCATCGTAAGCTTCTCTTTCCTATGTGTGGGTTATGCGTGTATTGTTCCAGTCACAGTATTGTGTCTTTTATTCTTTAACATGTATGCCTGGTCATGGACCAGGCCACAGGGGTATCGACCCCTGAAACACCCTCCAGGTAGAGTTTGAATTGGGATATTAAGCAAAAAAAGTAAGTCTGAATATGGTGTGGAGCAAATTGCAATAAGTGTCACCATGCCTCGTTTTCAGCCTTCTTCCTAGTTGCTTTAAGAACATGGTCAACTAGGCTATTAACTTATATTACATCATGTACAGTGCAATATGCTTAAATATTATTGTTTACAATTTAGTGTTGTATTACTAAAGCACGTGTTTGTTGTAAAAGGTCACCATAAAATTTGTTTGGTAAAAGGACACAAGTGCAACTAATGTGACATTTTATTGTGGCAACGTTTCACTCTCCAGGAGAGGGAAACGTTGACACAATAAAATGCCACATTAGTTGCACTTGTGTCCTCTTATCTAACATATTGTCGGTAATTCTACCAACATTATTACACCATAAAATTGCGTGCTAGCTACAAGCACAACTACTGAAGTAAAATGAGGCTCTTAACTTACCATCTCAATATTTTTTTTATAATGATAATTAAAAATCTAAAAATTTCATAGTCAGAGGATTGCCGAGTTTCCTACACAGAAGTAAAATATAAATTATATAAAACTGGCAATTAAAGTACTGTACAGTATTATGTACTGAACATTTGTCCAATTCCTTTTCATACAATTCATACGCATTTTTTGTATTATATCATCATACCATAGTTATAGTATCTTGTCATTGATGAACTGTAAATCAAATTTACAACTTAAACTGGTTTTTTCCACTAAAAATCTACCCTCACTATAAAATGTATGCTAATTACAGTATTTTGAAGTTCACACTTCAAATCGTTTATATATATATAATTTAACCAGCATAATAAATATGAAAACTATGGATTATGATAATCCATTTCCATCCTTTACCACTGAGAGCATGTATCACCTAATATAGTGAAGGCTCAACTGCATAGTCCGCATACGTCTCCCTCGTGTAGCATTCCCCATTCCTCCGAGTACATTACACTATTCTTGCACGCCAATTTGAGAACCTGATACCGACTTTTATCCATGATAAATAATCGTAAATAATCTGTAGAGATAGTGATTATGTACGAGTGATGTTGAAAGTGTTGAATGAAGAAAGTTTTTTCTTTCTTTCTTTTTGGGTCACCCTGCCTTGGTGGGAGATGCCTAAGTGTTAAAAAAAAAATTAATAATAATCGTCAAGCTAGTGTATTAGGACAATAATGTTTGTGTTATACAAACATTACATAACGTGATACAAATTTGATGAAATAATGGAAAATGTGTATATAAATTATTATGTGTTTTTTAGGCCAAGTCAATCAAGCCAAACTGAAATAAAAAAATTGATCTTTTCAACCAATTATTTTATGCACCGACAGATACTGTATATTTTGCAAATTACCGTAACACAGTCCTTCAAATTTTTAATTTCGTATTAAAACTGCTGTATCTTAGCCACCTCATCAAAACTGGCTAAAATTAACATTATAATAAAAAAGAAGCACTAAACCTACAAGGGTAAAATTAACCATATAATCTAGCTTAATTCTACCCTCCTTAGGTCAGGCTACACAGTGGACCCCCGCTTAACGATCACCTCCCAATGCGGCCAATTATGTAAGTGTATTTACGTAAGTGCGTTTGTATGTGTATGTTTGGGGGTCTGAAATGGACTAATCTACTTCACAATATTCCTTATGGGAACAAATTCGTTCAGTACTGGCACCTGAACATACTTCTGGAGTGAAAAAATATCGTTAACCGGGGGTCCACTGTATTCAGTACTTAACATCGGTGTAGTACATATATATTAATTTTAAGAGGGTTGGATTAGTTTCTGCAGCAAGCTGTTGTGAAAACGAATTTATTCTCCAATTGTTCGAAAAAATGGCAGTTACTTTGTCTAAATTATTATTATAATCAAAAAGAAGCGCTAAACCACAAGGGCTATACAGCACTTTGCCAAAAAAGCATAAAGTACATACATAGTTCACAAGTTGACTGTTAGTAGATTATCCAGAATGGTTAATTGCCTTTTAACAATATTCAGTTTTGTTCAATCTGACACCTAAACAGATTATGCGAAAAAGGATTGTGCAGATCATACGTTTAAATGGGTTTCAAGTTTGCCTACTTTCATAGTCTGGGCCTGGGGTAGGCTAGTCTGGTCCTGGGGCAGGCTAGTCGGGGCCTGGGGCAGGCTAGTCTGGTCCTGGGGCAGGCTAGTCTGGTCCTGGGGCAGGCTAGTCGGGGCCTGGGGCAGGCTAGTCGGGGCCTGGAGCAGGCTAGTCTGGCCCTGGGGCAGGCTAGTCTGGTCCTGGGGCAGGCTAGTCTGGTCCTGGGGCAGGTTAGTCGGGGCCTGGGGCAGGCTAGTCTGGTCCTGGGGCAGGCTAGTCGGGGCCTGGGGCAGGCTAGTCTGGTCCTGGGGCAGGCTAGTCTGGTCCTGGGGCAGGCTAGTCGGGGCCTGGGGCAGGCTAGTCGGGGCCTGGGGCAGGCTAGTCGGGGCCTGGGGCAGGCTAGTCTGGTGCTACAGACTACAAAATGATGCAGTCATCCAATGTAGTTGAAAACTGGAGAGGCATGATAACAGATGATCTCTGTGTGTGTGTGTGTGTGTGTGTGTGTGTGTGTGTGTGTATGTGTGTGTGTGTGTGTGTGTGTGTTGTGTGTGATGTGTGTGTGATTGTGTGTGTGTGATTGTGTGTGATTGTGTGTGATTGTGTGTGTGTGTGTGTGTGTTGTGTGTGTGTGTGTGTGTGTGTTGTGTGTGTGTTTGTGTGTGTTGTTTTGTGTGTGTGTGTTTGTGTGTGTGTTTTGTGTGGTGTGTTTTTTGTGTGTGTGTGTGTGTGTGTTATGTGTATGTGTTATGTGTGTTTTGTTATGTGGTGTGTGTGTGTGTGTATGTGTATGTGTGTGTTTTGTGTGTATTGTGTGTTTATGTTATGTGTGTGTGTTTTATAATATATATATATATATATATATATATATATATACACACACACCCATAAACCCTCAATTAACACTGAATCAGAGTATATATGCAATTTTCTAACGACCTTTTTGAAATTGCAGCTAAAAAATATCATTAATTTTCACACAAACTCTTGGTAACCCACAACCCAAATTAAGTATAAGGTTAGTGTTTGAGGAGAGAGATTATTATAATCATAAACAAGCACTAAACCTATAAGGGTCTTGGAAAGACAGACACCCACACTGTTTACAGCTACATTCTGGCAATACCACTGTCTTTCCTCTGCTTATCAAAATTTTTTGGATATTTTCACCACTCCATTGTGTGTCTGGATATTGCCCACAATACCCAAGAGGAACACCAATGATGCTAGAGGTGCCAATAAAATAAATAGTGTAACAGCACTTAGCCAGGAGGGGTCAGTGCTTGTCTCAATATTATTGGTGGGAGACTCACGAGGACAACTGCTCATCCCAGTGATTTAATCTGTATAAAGAGCCAACCATGCGTGTCGTAAGAGGCGACTACAATGCCAGGAGCAAGGGGCTAGTAAACCCTTCTCCTGTATAAATTACTAAATTTAAAAAGAAAAACTTATGTTTTTTTTTTTAGGTTACCCTGCCTCAGTGGGATATGGCCGGTTCGTTGAAAGAAAGAAAAAAGTTCGTTGTGCAATGTCAGTAGACAATCTTGAAGAAATTAAACACAAAGTACATAATAGGTAATGGAAATGAATATTGATAAATACTATATTATAAAAAATAAGTGACGTACTGTACAAACATGGTCTTTGATGATTATAGTTTTAGTCAAAATAAAAAAAAATCAGATAAAGAATGATTTAGGGTAAATATAAATACCGCAACAACTTCAGAAAATCAAGTAAATGTGGTAATAACCGCTGTTATTCTTATTCTATACTAGTTAACTTTAAAATAGTCTTGGAGTGGCAAAAATATCCAAAAAGAATTTGATAAGCAGACCAAGTAAGGCGTGTGGCGTTGCCAGAATGCAAACAGTGTGGGTATCTCTCTTTCCAAGACCCTTACAGGTTTAGTGCTTGGTTATATATAACTGACAAAATGATGAGTTTTAATAACATATGCTAAACAAAAATTAGACTATGCCACTGGCAGTGTCTACAGCTTTACAATATGAACATAATTATAATAGAAAAAAGTTCGAAGACACGCCAGAAAATAGATTTCGTAAGTTATATAAATTTAGAGTAAACCTTTATACTTGCTACTTCGCTATTCACTAACTTTGGTCTTTTGCTGAAGATATCGTTTGTGATGTTGCTGTTAGGTGGATTATTTGAAAGTTTAATGTCCTGCATTTGTAGCAAGAAATCTAAAGAATGGGTGATAGTCGAGTTTTCCTTAAAGTCACTGTCATTTAGTAATAAATGGCAGTATCAAAGACATTTAAGTAACTGAGGCTGGGTGGGAAATACAGTGGAACCTCGGCACTTGAACTTAATTGGTTCCGCAAGGCTGTTCGAGTGCTTATCCGAGTACAGAACGAATTTTTCCCAACCAATTTTCTTTTTGGCTGGCTGTTATCACTATCTCCCTTAGGCCCCATGGTGACTTATTTTACACACACACACACACACACACACACACACACACACACACAAAAAAAAAAAAAAAAAAAAAAAAAAAAAAAAAAGTGAAGAAACATTAAATATTGTACTTTATAGCGAACTTCTGGCAGGTCATGTTTGTTTGGTCGAGTACCGAGCAAACGGCCAACTACTGAGCAATTTGTTTACTGAACAAAGTGTTTGAATACCAAATTGTTCGAGTACAGAGTTGCTTGACTACTGAGGTTCCACTGTATAGTGCCTGCACTCTGAAGGAGGGGTTAGGGATATTTGCTGCTTGGTGGTACATCCAAACTGTCATATATGCACACCTCTGGCATGACAGTGATAGTGAGAATGATGGTGAAAGTGTTTCTTTTTTCAGGTCAGCCTGCCCTGGTGAGAAACAACCAAACAGAAAAATGGGAAGGGGGCTGGCTGACAGGAACCACGCATGGAGGTACAGTGGCCCCTTGAATTTCATCCTCCCTTTTCTGTATGTACTTTTTTTAATATTTCCCATAAGAAATAATGTAAATCCAATTAATCCATTCCAGACACCCAAAAATATTAACAAAAAATACATTTTATAGAAAACAACTTTAGTTTTATATACAGAAACGGGATGATGAAATTCGAGGGGCCACTGGCCTACCATTTTTTAGTGTGTGAAACGAAGGCTTATTAAGCACTGCTGATCTCTTCTTTATTTCTTGATCATGAAACACAAAAGATAAATTTTGCAAATTCTTACTTACATTCAGTGTACACTTATACAGTGGACCCCCGCATAACGATCACCTCCGAATGCGACCAATTATGTAAGTGTATTATGTAAGTGCATTTGTACGTGTATGTTTGGGGGTCTGAAATAGACTAATCTACTTCACAATATTCCTTATGGGAACAAATTCGGTCAGTACTGGCACCTGAACATACTTCTGGAATGAAAAAATATCGTTAACCAGGGGTCCACTGTATTTACTTTCCTGCATTTTCTGTAACAATTCACATTCTTCTATCATCTTGCTAATTATCTATGGAACATGGGTAAAGTATCTCCTCCCATCATTGAGCTACATATACAATATGCCAAAGGCGAGTAAAATGCCAGGAAAAAGGGGTTGGTAATAAATTTTTTATAGGTAATAACAAAATGAAATAGGAAATTTTGAAATAGGGATGTGTGTGTGTGAATGTGGATGTACAGTACTGATATACAGATATTAAGAAAAAATTACAATTATGAATTAAAAAATTTGGATGCCCTATCACTGAGTGATGTCAAGATAAAAGATGTGGGAGAGTGCATACGAGATAAATGCTAGTGAGTAACTGTAATAAATGAATAACTGTGGAAAGAGAATAGATTGGGACTTCTGCGCCAGCCTTCGTCGGGTGTGGACGTCTCTCTCTCTTGCCTGAGTATCGATCACAAATTTCCCCCGTTCTCTCTGGGACACTTGTCCTCGTCTATTTTGCCCACCGGGCACTCTACAGGAGGGGCACCTGTTCATCGGCTTACTTTTAGCCAGCTCCATTTTTTCTGCTCTGCGGAAAATTCTTTATCGGTCTTTGGTAGGAAGCCGGTTACTGAACTCAGGTGGGAGTGTGGGCGTCCCTCTCTGCTGGGGCTTGGCAAGGGCATCCACCAGATCTAATTGGAAACTTCAAGTTTCTATCTCTATGTATTTACAAAGGAACTCTTGTTCCTTTTCTCTCAGTGACCAGCCTTGGGCAACAATTTTTCCTTGTACCATCGAGAAACCAGGCTCAATATGGTTTATGCTGTCAGTGGCCCTCATAAACCCAACAAAGAAAGAGAACAGATTTTTATATTAAACCATACTGTGGTTTAGAAAAAGTAGCTAAAAAACTGAGTTATAGCAAGCAGGAATAACTAAAAGTTAGAAACAGTAGTAGCAACAAAGGGTCAAAAATACCATCATAATGCCTCAAATCAAAATAATAATAATCCTGCTTCAAAACTAAGTTCCTTAGCTGCCTCTTCCAACCAGATTGCTATCCCTATTCCCCGTCTTCTATAAAACTTGCGGAACTGCCCCTGGTTGTAAAAAAATGTATACTAGTGTTGGGGAGATATGAGGGATTTAATAAATGATAAATATTATATGAAATGGTAACTGTCACAGTTGGTCTTTGATGACACTGTGCTTTTGGGAGATTTGGAAGAGAGGTTACAAAGGTTGGTGGCACAGTGTAGGTGTGTGTGCAAAAGGAGAAAAGTGAATGTAAACAGAAACAGAATAACAGGATGGGAATAAGAAATATCTAAACAATGAAAGACTGGACAATGGATTGAAGGGAGCATGGAGGAAGTGAATGAATTTAGATCCAATATTTGGGAGAGAATGTAGGCAGATGACTGCATAAAAGATGACGCCAATACAGCCTCTCCTCACTTAACGACGGAGTTCCGTTCCTAATACCACGTCGACAAAGAATTCGTCAATGAACGAGGAGCATACCATAATGGTAATGATATTGTTTTAATGTCACCTTTGCACCATTTATAAGATTTTTAGTATATTTTTAAATGTTTATACAGTAGTATACTGTAATAAACAGAATAGAGGAAATCAGCTCTAATATACATTACATGTATTTAGGTATGCATACTGGTTAGAGAGCCCGTCGTAAGTCCGAGTCGTCGGTAAATGGGTACATAGCTAAGTGAGGAGAGGCTGTAACTGAATATACTAGGGCAAAAAAAAAAAAAAAAGCATGATGAGTGGTGCTGTCTGTGGAAAGAATTTCACTGATGTATACAAAAAAAAAAAAATTAAAATAAAATACTCTAGCCTGTTTAATGGTGCCAACACTTTTATATTGGTAATAAACATGGTCTTTTAAACACTGCTGCGAGCAGGCTGGATATGTCGTGTTTAAGATCATCGTACAACGCAAACATTATGCAGAGAAGGAATAAAGAAATTAGATGTTACATGAAGAGTATAATTCAAAGAATTGTCGAGATGGTTTTTCTCATTTTGAAAGGACAGAGCAAGGTAGGTTGACCAAAAAATTACAAATATGGGATGGATGGAAGGGCTAGTAGGGAACATAACACGAAAGGTTGGAAGGGGTGTGTTTAGACTGAAGTCAATGTGTCACTATTGGTATGTCAGGTTATCTGTAGTGATGACGCATTCACTTGTGACATTCATGGCTATAGAACTTTGTTCTCCTGTTTCTTTGATACATATATACATATGCAATCACATATAGGCGAGTACATACATACATACGTGCTATAAGATTACAGTACACAGGTGATATCACAATATTCAAAATAAAGTGAAAAAATAGTGAGATTCCAAGCACTTGCATTATCTCTCATATTATCAAAGAATAGCGACAGTGTGAGAAACGAAAGTCCTTGGAATTTCATTAATTTGTTACCATTATTATTTTTGCCTACATACATACATACATTATATAAAAATCAACCATAATGAATGAGAACAAAGGGGCAGAATTAAGAGGTCAACCCACCCTGGCTCAAATATGCAATTACAGTGGAACCCGGGTTTCCGTATGCCCTAGTTTGTATATAAAACTATAGTGGACCCCCGCATAACGATTACCTCCGAATGTGACCAATTATGTAAGTGTATTTATGTAAGTGCGTTTGTACGTGTATGTTTGGGGGTCTGAAATGGACTAATCTAATTCACAATATTCCTTAAGGGAACAAATTCGGTCAGTACTGGCACCTGAATACTACTTCTGGAATGAAAAAATATCGTTAACCGGGGGTCCACTGTATAGTTATTCTCTATAAAATGTATTTTTTTTAATATTTCCCATGAGAAATAATGTAAATCCAATTAATCAGTTCCAGACACCCAAAAATATTAACAAAAAATACATTTTATAGAGAATAACTGTAGACATAAGAGAATATAGAGAATAACTAGGACATACGAAAACCCAGGTTCCACTGTACAGTGTATATAGAAACATGTACATATACTGTACCTATGCAAAAAAATAGCGTAATTACAGTAATAAATACATTAGTTACTCGTTATAATTATTTCCAGTCAGAAGCCTTAACCCGTAAACGGTCCGAACAGATCTACGTTCACATGTGTAGTGCTACAAAAGTAGATCTGTTTTTTTTACATATTTTCAAATATAACAAAAAAAAGAAAGTAGATCTAAGTTTTTTTTACATACTTTCAAATGTTGAAAAAACGTATATATACGTTTGGACCGTTTACGGGTTAATGGCTAACACTACTGTACAGGGTGCATAGCTTGGAGCTTAAAAGTTACATTTAGGAAACAACACAAACATCTGCATATTAAAAATAATTGTGTATGAAAAGGGAATTTGGACTGGAAACCTTTCCTTAAACGTTTTCTGCCCAGACAGACTTTTTCCTAATACCGTGAAACACACATCTCACGTACGACATTTTCACTTGCATGATAGTGTAGACAATACTGGTCAAAAATATATAAACAAAATACAAAAACAAAAACGATTATTTCTAAGTAATGAATAAATACCAAGAGAACAAATGCGGGTATAAACATTTTTCAAGTTAAGGCTTCTGCATTAATGGCTAAGTTCCCTTCTGACATTACACACAAACTTAATAAAACTGTGCAAATGCATATGTAACTAACTTTATATTTTCTATCTTTCATGAGGAACACGATATTCATTACTCATTTAATTGAGTGTTAGGAGTCTGTAGGTTCCTTAACACTGGCATGTGGCTACAATGACCACAAAGTCCGAACTTGTTCCCACTGAGCGTACGCGTGCGGAGGCTGATATGGCTGCTGAGGGAACATTTTCACAGTGTCTTGATATTCAAAAGCTTTCTTTTCAGTGGGCATTGCTACATGACTGTTATGACCATTATGGTGGATCTTCTGAGGAGCGGGCGTTGGCGTTGGTGCTGGTTTCGCATACTCGACGTAATCAACACCCTTGCGCTCGCTATGAACGAACCTATGGCTGTTTAAGTGACTTTCTTGTGTAAATCTTTTCCCACACTCTGGACATTCAAATCTCTTTTTCTCACTGTGTACAAATTGGTGACTTATAAGGTGAGTTTCCTGCCTAAATCTTTTCCACACTCATCACACCCGTAACTTTTTTCCTGTGTGTGGACAAATCTGTGACTGTTCAGATGACTTTCCTGAGAGAATCTTTTACCACAATCATCACACTCGAATCTTTTCATGTCATTGTGGACAAATTTGTGCCCGTTGACGTGATTTTCTTGGGGCACTCTGTTTGCTGCCCATTCTTGGCGCTCAAATTTTTTTTCTGCACTATGTACATACATGTGACTATTAAGGTGAATTTCTTGAATGAATCGTTTGCCACATTCTTCACACTCAAACCTTTTTTCCTCGGTATGTACAACTCTATGGCTACTCAGATGGCTTCTCTGAAAGAACTTTTTTCGACACACTTCACATTCGAATCTCTTTTCTTCACTGTGCACAAACTTATGGCTGTTCAAATGACTTTTTCGTGTATATCTCTTGCCACAAACCTCGCACTCGAACCTTTTTTCACTATGTACTACCATATGGCTGTTAAGATGGCTCTCCATTGAAAATCTCTTTCCACAAATTAAGCACTCAAATTTTTTCTCCACACTGTGTACGAGCATGTGACTGTTCAGATGTATTTCCATTGTAAATCTTTTGCTACACACTGCACACTCAAATTTTTTTTCCATGGTGTGTATAAGATGGTGACTGTTGAGGTGAATTTCCAAAGCAAACCTCTTGCCACATACGCCACACTCAAAATTCTTTATAACATTGTGTGCATTCATGTGGCTGTTAAGGTGACTTTTCTGCAGGAATCGCTTCCCACATTTTTCACATTCAAATCTTTTCTCTTTCACATGTGTAAGCATGTGACTTCTCAGATGCGTTTCCATAGTGAATCTTTTGTTACACAATTCACATTCAAATTTTTTGACCTGACTATGAACAAGCATATGTCCATTTAGGTGACTTTCCATTGTGAATCTTTTATCGCACATCTCACACTTGAAATTCTTCTCAGCACTGTGGACAATCATGTGGCTGTCGAGGTGGCTTTCCATGGTAAAGCGTTTGTTGCACAACTCGCACTCGAACCTTTTTACTTTTCGATGCCATACTATGTGGTTATTGAGATGGCTTTCCTGGGCAAAGCGTTTACTGCATTCTTCACATTCGTAAGGCTTTTCAGTGGTCTGCAACCACATTCCAATCTGGGGAATAATTTGCTGCTGTTCTTGTTGCTGCTGCTGCTGCTGTGGCGGCGGCTGCGGCGGCGGCGGCTGCAGCTGCTCTGGAACAGTTTGGCTTGCCGTGTGAGTTCTGCCCGGGTACTGGGGTGGTGCCACTTCCATCGTTCAATTTTTTCTTAAAAAACTGCTACAGTTTTTATAAAGTTTCCTTCTTTAGTGATATGTGATGTTATCGCTCAGTTTTCCACTGTACACAATGTATCAGTAGAGGCGCTTCCATATCTGGAATAAGATTGATAGATTTAAGTTACAATTCAATATTTTAAAGATTGTAATTTAATAATAATAATAATAATAATAATAATTGTCCTAGGTAGTAGGTTGGTAGACAGCAACCGCCTAGGGAGGTACTACCGTCCTGCCAAGTGAGTGTAAAACGAAAGCCTGTAATTGTTTTACATGATGGTAAGATTGCTGGTGTCCTTTTTTCTGTCTCATAAACATGCAAGATTTCAGTACGTCTTGCTACTTCTACTTACAATTAGGTCACACTACACATACATGTACAAGCATATATATACACACCCCTCTGGGTTTTCTTATATTTTCTTTCTAATTCTTGTTCTTGTTTATTTCCTCTTACCTCCACAGGGACGTGGAACAGAATTCTTCCTCCGTAAGCTATGCGTGTCGTAAGAGGCGACTGAAATGCCGGGAGCAAGGGGCTAGTAACTCCTTCTCCTGTATATATTACTAAATTTAAAAGGAGCAACTTTCGTTTTTCCTTTTGGGCCACCGCGCCTCGGTGGGATATGACCGGTGTGTTGAAAGAAAGAAATAATAATAAGGGATTTTATAAGTCCTGTAAGCTTGTGAATTTCTTGGAAAAAACAAGCTTGCAGGACTTATAAAATTTCTTATTATTATTCTTTCAACACACCGGCTGTATCCCGCCAAGGCGGGACGGCCCAAAAGGAAAAACAAAAGTTTGTCCTTTTAACCCTTAAACGGTCCAAAGAGACTGACGTTCAAATTCGTAGCTAAAAAAGTAGATCTACTTTTTTTTTTTACATATTTTCAAATATAACAAAAAAAAGTAGATAAAAGTTTTTTTTACACATTTTCAAATGTGAAACAAAAAAGATCTACATTTTTTACATACTTTCAGATGTTGAAAAAACGTATATATACGTTTGGACCATTTAAAGGTTAAATTTAGTAATGTACAGTATATATAGGAGAAGGGGTTACTAACCCTTTGCTCCCGGCATTTTAGTTGCCTCTTACAACACGCATGGCTTACGGAGGAAGAATTCTATTCCACTTTCCCATGGAGATAAGAGGAAATAAACCAGAACAAGAACTAATAAGAAAACAGAAGAAACCCCAGAGGGTGTGTATATACATGCTTGTACATGCAAGTGTAGTGTGACCTAAGTGTGAGTAGAAGTAGCAAGACGTACCTGAAATCTTGCGTGTTTATGCAAGATTTTAGCGGAATATAACTATAGTTATTATTTGAATATCAGTACAGAAAGCATTATTGTTCAATGTTTGTATTTTGTTTCAATATTGTACTGTGGGAATATTCTATTGTGGTAATACTTCCTGGTTATAATCTACTGTAAAAAAAGCTTTACTGTATTTGGATTATTGATCTAAATGTTAATAACCCAGTATAACCCAATAAAATCAAAGTACATTATGTCCACCGACTTTCTTTTTATATCCTCCCCAGGATGAGATTCACCACAGTCATTTAACTACTAAGAAGGAAAGGAAGAGAGAGGAAAAGAAGGAAGACGTACAACAGGGGAGAGAAAAGGGAGGGAAGATGATGAAGTTTAAGGTGTATATGGGAAAGACATCCTATTTAGTGCTAGGTAACAGTGGCAGCATGTGTTAGGAGACTTGTTCATGCATCCCACCTTGTCATGGGGTTTGACCCCATGACCTATGTTGTACGAGTCAGTGATACACTAACCCCTAAGTTACTAATCTGCTGCATTAATACTTCTGTGGCAGTACTCTACTGTGATGGTACTCTATTGTGATAATACTATACAGTACTGTAAGGACTCACAGTCCATAAGTAGATTATACAAGGCCTTCAGAAAAGCCTTCAAGTTTCTCCTTGAATTGCCGATTTTTTGTTTAACATATCACCGTATTTCTTCTTTAAGCAATAACGCAATGATTTCATGGACAACACTGCACTTAGCATTACGACAGAGAGCAATCATTCAAAGCTCTTCTATACGTGTACATATGTAATATCCTCCTTTGTAACCACGCTTTCAAACCTCCTATTAAACATCCACCACATTTCTTCCTATTTCCTTTTCAAAGTGCCTTTCTTCCACCCTCCTTACCTTTGTGTGTTCATTTCTATGGTATGTTTCTGGATTGTCCTGTTCATCTGCTGGCAGTAACAGCCTGATTACTCAGGCAGTCACCAGGGAAGTATGTCCACAGACCAAGCTGCATGAATAAAAAATAAAATAATGAATCGGTCATAGGCATGTCACTAATTACGTTATACATGGCTGGTAATGATTCCGAGACGGCACAGTCTCACACCAGGCTTCCTAAATTAAGAAAGATATATTACAAGTACAAGAACTATTAACAAAATTAGAAATAACTTGCACTTAAGAAGCTTATGGCAACATTTGGATTCACCCTAGACCACTGTCAAGTCACAAGTGGGAAAGAGAAAAGCAGAGAAGACCAAAAGACAGGTAAAGGAGGGATAGGGAAAGTAGTAGTAGTACTAGTGGTAGTAGTAGTAGTACTAGTGGTAGTAGTAGTAGTAGTACTAGTGGTAGTAGTAGTAGTAGTACTAGTGGTAGTAGTAGTAGTAGTATAGTAGTGGTAGTAGTATGTAGTGGTAGTAGTAGTATATATGTAGTAGTAGTAGTAGTAGTAGTAGTAGTAGTAGTAGTAGTAGTAGTAGTAGTAGTAGTAGTAGTAGTAGTAGTAGTAGTAGTAGCAGTAGTAGTGGCAGTAGTAGTAATACTAGAGGTGGTAGTAGTAATACTAGTGGTGGTACTAGTAATACTAGTGGTGGTACTAGTAATACTAGTGGTGGTAGTAGTAGTAGTAGTAGTAGTAATACTAGTGGTAGTAGTAGTAATACTAGTGGTGGTAGTAGTAATACTAGTGGTGGTAGTAGTAGTAGTAGTAGTAGTACAAGTGGTGGTAGTAGTAGTACTAGTGGTGGTAGTAGTACTAGTGGTAGTAGTAGTACAAGTGGTGGTAGTAGTAGTACTAGTGGTGGTAGTAGTACTAGTGGTAGTAGTAGTACTAGTTGTGGTAGTAGTAGTACTATTGGTGGTAGTAGTAGTAGTACTAGTGGTAGTAGTAGTACTAGTGGTAGTAGTAGTACTAGTGGTAGTAGTAGTACTAGTGGTAGTAGCAGTAGTGGTACTAGTACGACCACCACCACTCCCTCCTTCCATCCTCTCTTCTGGTATTTGTGTTTTTAACCCAAACACTTTAGGGACACAACTGTCCCTCTTATCAATATACAGTAAGGACGATAAATCTCCAATAAGAACATGAGAATGAAGGAACACTGCAACAGGCCTACTGACCCATGCGAGGCAGTTCCAAGTCACCTACCGGATTAAGCCACTGACCCAACTTAGGTTAGGTCACATCTACTTAAGGAAGGAGCACGGCATCAGACCTACTAGCACAAGCTAGTCAGGTCATTATCACACCACTCGTGTATTTATCTAATTACCTGAACTAACCTGCAGTAAACTGTATTTTTTACTGATAAATTGTCTGGAAATGCCACTATTTGACCAGTGAAGGAAATACAGTACATATCAGTAGTTGAATAAATTTTTTTGTGCCAATAAAACTTTATATTAAATCTCGTGGTAACCTTTATCACCATTTATTTATGCACCAGACAAGCCTAGTCCAGTAATAGGCTGAGGATGGCAATTTGAAGCAGTGTTGTGGTTGACCTATTTTAAGAGTAAAAAAATGGACTATTTGCATATTATATATATGACTGATTGCCATTTTTTGATAGTTTCAATTATTAACCTCCTAAGTCTTACTAGTGAAAAAATTTATAAAATTTTAAGTAAACCTGTTTGGAATACTATAATGGCAAGTGGCTGCCCCAGCGGAAACGGCTACTGAACTGGCTGCCAACGATGATACTATTCAAATCACATGTACTCTCTAGCTTAGAGTACGGCTTGGTGCTGACTACTTCGTTCAAAGCAGGAAAGATATCAGGGCTGGAAAAAGTACAGAGAAAATTTACTTCCCTGCATAGGGTCGATAATTTACTTCCCTGCATAGGGTTGATAATTTACTTCCCTGCATAGGGTCGATAATTTACTTCCCTGCATAGGGTTGATAATTTACTTCCCTGCATAGGGTCGATAATTTACTTCCCTACATAGGGTCAATAATTTACTTCCCTGCATAGGGTCGATAATTTACTTCCCTGCATAGGGTCGATAATTTACTTCCTGCATAGGGTCGATAATTTACTTCCCTGCATAGGGTCGATAATTTACTTCCTGCATAGGGTCGATAATTTACTTCCCTGCATAGGGTCGATAATTTACTTCCCTGCATAGGGTCGATAATTTACTTCCCTGCATAGGGTCGATAATTTACTTCCCTGCATAGGGTCAATAATTTACTTCCCTGCATAGGGTCAATAATTTACTTCCCTGCATAGGGTCGATAATTTACTTCCCTGCATAGGGTTGATAAAGTATTTAAGCTACTGGGAACACCTCAAAGAACTGAAGGTGGAAGATACATGATAATACATACATGGAAGACACTGGAGGGTCCAGTCCCAAACCTACATACACGTACTACCATTACATGCTCGAGCAAGAGATATGGGAGGAAATGGGCCTTGACAAATCATCCTGCTTATACCTGTAGGGTGTTCCGGCCTGGTCCATGACCAGGTCTCGCGGTGGATCAGGACCTGATCAACCAGATTATTACTGCTGGCTGCATGTAAACCGACATACGAACTACAGCCATGCTGGTCAGGCACGTACTGACTTTATACCTATACATAAGAAACTCTGTCAGAACAAGTGCAAACTAGAAGTACAGTATTCAAAAGGAAACTGGGTGGTTTCTTCTTTAAATAACAAAAAAAGGCACAATACCGCGACTGGAACGATACACAAATAACCCGCACATAAAAGAGAAGCTTACAACGACGTTTCGGTCCGACTTGGACCATTTACAAAATCACTTTGTAAATGGTGACTTTGTAAATGGTCCAAGTCGGACCAAAACGTCGTCGTAAGCTTCTCTCTTTTATGTGCGGGTTATTTGTGTATGGTTTCCTCTTTAGAGTGCCTGAACAACCAGTCTCTGATGGTTATGTGGGTTGCCAACAGCCTTGTTGATCAGGCAATCAACTAGAAGGCCTGGCCACAGGCTGAGAATAGGAAGAAACTCAAAATATGTAGTCACAGACAAATCACATGTAACCTAACAAACGAATACCGTACACAGTAAGAGATTTTAAATGCTGCATAGCATGATACAGTAACAAATAACACAAACCATACCACAGGTAGGGTTAGAACCTGCGATCAGAGTGTCTCAAAACTCCAGATTGTCGTGGGTTCTAACCCCACCCGTGGTATGGTTTGTTTGCAATCGTGTCATTACAATTTCACGAGTCAATCAAGAACACAATTTACAGTACAGCATAGAGGAGAAAAATATAAAAAACGTCCAGACTATGATGGGTATATGGGCCAGCAAACCACCAGAAGCAACAGCCTTGTTGACCAAGCAAGCACCAGAAGACCCTGACCTATGGCTATGGCTGGGCTCCAGGAGGAGAAAACCTCAGAACTCATCAAAGGTATTGAGCACAGACATGACAATGTCAGTGGGATTACTTGTAATCAAGTTGAAATGTAATGTAAAAAAGGGAATAAAATACGTAATGGGAATATAAATAGGAGGTAACGCAATATGAGTTGAAGACGAGTGAAAGAATAAACAAGACTTAGGATTTTTAACCCCGGAGGGTTAGCCACCCAGGATAACCCAAGAAAGGTAATGCATCACTGAGGGACTGTCATATTTCAATCTTGTTCCCCAGGATGCCACCCACATCAGTCACCTAACACCCAAGTACATATCAATATGCTTAGTGCTAGGTGAACAGTGACAGATGTAAGGTAACATACCCAATTTTTTCACCCATGCCGAGGATTGAACCCAGGCACTCAGAGTGTGAGACAAACCGTTGTCAAAGACCAAAGTGGTAACAAATCCCTTTGACTTTTTTGGGTTATCCTGGTGGGTAATTTACACACGTTAAACTATTATTATTATTATTAAAGATTAGCCGGTATTCTCCCGGCCCGGGCCTTTTCCAAGTGGTGGCCCGGCCTTGGCTCCCTCTTTAGGGAGTGTCTGAGACCTAAGTCTCCCATGGGAGGAGGCACAAGTACCTCCCCATCTTTGGGACCAACTGTCCCCAGGCCAAGCCACAAGCTAGGCCTCTCTGGTCTGCCATCCCCGCCCCAAGGGAGGCAAATGGGAATGACAGTCTTGTGAGCTAAAGGCTCGGGCTCAGGCACCTACCCTACCCTAGAAGGGTTAGGCATGGTATTGATCCGTTAAACTATGTATAATAATTGTACTTATGTGAACCAGTAAATAAAATAAAACTTACTAACTACAGCCAGGGAATATAAAGTGCTGAAAATACAGTGGTACCTTGCGATACAAACTTATTTGGTTCCAGAACGCTGTTCAAGTGCGAATACTGAACAAATTTGTTCCCATAAGGGATAATGTAAATTACATTAATCCGTTTCAGACCCCGAAAAGTACACTTACAAAAGCACTTACATAAATACACGTACATAATTGTTCCCATTTTGAGTTGTTCATATCCTGAGGTATCACTGTATCTAACACAAGACTTATAGTAATGAATTAAATATTAGATATTAGAAGCGGCATTATTTTAGCTGACAATCAAACTTTAAGATTAATCCTTAAACTGTCCAAACGTAGATCTCCATTCAGAGTTCCCCGCACGTGGACACAGATCTATGTCTGGACAGTTTAAGGGTTAATGAAAGAAATAATCAAGGACCCCAATGGAAGTACGTCAGCTTGACTTACGAAAACGCTTGGAAATTCATGTTTTTACCACAATCTTATAGCGTATTCAACTATGTATGATAATTGTACCTACGTATACCTATACATATTCTCACTTAAGTGTCAAGTTTGTCTTAAAAACAACAAAGATTATAAACGATACTGTGGGAGAAATTTACTGCCTAGCATAGGCCAGTAGGCCTAGGATACTATGTATTCATAGGCATCTTAATATTATATTTTATATGCAGGGATTATAGCAAAAGAGAATTAATAAGCTTATTAGGGTATACTATGTTAACTTCATCATACATGGTGATTAATACCCTTGGTATCATTATACGGC